TTCCTTCCTTCCTTCCTTCCTTCCTTCCTTCCTTCCTTCCTTCCTTCCTTTTTTTCCTTCTTCCTTTCCTTTCCTTCCCCTCTCCCCCTCCCTCTCTCTCTCCCTCTGTCAAACTGATCTGCTTTGCTATTTCTGCAAGCACATCTAGTAACAGGGTTAAAACCCTCTTCATTCCAAATGATTCTTTTCCTAAGCACATTACACAGATGTTAAGTTTGTTCAGATGACAGGGAACTATTTTACAAGAGTTTGTTTATTTTAAAGGAAAAAACTGGCCTGCCAGCTATGATTCTAAGCAAACTATCAAACTCTCTGTCTCAGGAATCGTAGGGGAGAGGAAGAGAAACAATTCTTTGCCATACGTTTATTCTCAGCTCAGTCATTACAATAAATAAGACATTACAATGGGTATGCATCATAAAGTATCCGCTCATATGTTTCATCTCATGACTTTCTTCCAAGTTTATATATCTAAAAACTACATTGTAAAACTTAGAATCCTTAAGTTTTAGAGGCACTTGGAGAATTAAGGCAGCTTTGCTGGCCATCCTATCAAATAATATTTTCCTTCTCAGAATAGTATGTGCACAATGTATTTGCCATCTGGTGTGATAACAGCACTCTCACAATACTAAAATCACTTGGATTCTAAAGCTGAGCTTGTGTTAATCAAGGGCACCCTGCCCCTTTTAAATCTGTATTATTGTGGCATATCATTAAAAACGGTAAGGTTTCACTTGCCTTGCCATGCCTACCATTTTCAACTGATTGATCCTATCCGCTCCCCGCCATGACATATATATTTTATGTATCCCAAGGTGCTTTTTCAAAAGGAAGTTGGACTTTCTGCTTGTTGTTTTTTTCTCCTTGAAAACTAGCTTTTCATCCAAAAAGCTTTTGAAGTTGCAGAACTGAAGAAGCTTCTTGGATGAGAAGCGAAACATTTTCAAGGAGAAAAAAAGCACAAGAAAGTCCAATTGCCTTTTGAAAAAGTATCTTTGGCACAGACAAATGATTGAGAATCTTCATAGACATATTTTAAATTTGGTGTGTGTCTGTGTGGGCATGCGTGCTTTGGTGTAAAAGGAATGCCATGTGAGAAGCAACATCAGAATCAGTGGTGGGATTCAAAAAAATTTTTTACTACCGGTTTTGTGGGTGTGGCTTGGTGGGCATGGGGTGGTTTGGTGGGCGTGGCTTGGTGGGTATGACAAGGGAACCATACTGTAAAATCCCCATTCCCTCCCCAGCCCACTAACCTGCTTTCCAGCTCCGTTCTCCTGTGCAGGGCAACAAAAGAAGACCCAGCCGATGAGTTGGGACTCGAGAGGCAGCGAATAGATGGGGGCAGGGCCAGTCAGAGGTGGGATTTGCCAGTTCTCCAAACTACTCAAAATTTCCACTACCGGTTCTCCAGAACTGGTCAGAACCTGCTGAATACCACCTCTGATTAGAATGTGTAGTATATGCAACAAGCAACTTCATAGTCTTAAAAGTAGCAGTTCTCCAGTTGACTTGCATGCTGTGGAAACTAGAGATGAACTGGACCAGTTAGGCATGGAGTCCGTCCTCTTGTTCAAAGTAGGAATACAGTTTACTATCTGACCTCCACTTGAACACTTTTAGCAAAGGTGTTGCTAAAAGTTGCCTTCACCATTGTCTTCATTGTCATGCCACTAATACTATTACAAACTGCCCTACTGTAATTTTTCTAGGATTAAGTTTTGAACTTGGAAGAATAAGCAAAGAGAATTCCACATCTGTTATTTATCAGAATGTGGCAATATGAATTCATTCCCTAAACTGCTTTCCAGTTAATCTCCTTTTTTTGCACACATGCTCACACCACAAAACCTTGAGAAGCAGGACTACATGGTCTATGCAAAGGTGGAAATGAAGTGTGTGTGTGTGTGTGTGTGTGTGTGTGTGTGTGTGTGTGTGTAGCAAATGAGCATAGCAGAAACAAACTACGAACGACTCAGCTGCAACAATTCCACATTAGCTTTATTCAATCAATCAAGAACATCTACGTGACTCCAAAAGTAGAATATTTGGCTTAAAGCATAAATGTGAATTTTATTGTAAATGCTACAGAAATCTTGCATAGAAAGTGTCAGGTGCAAAAGATCAGGACCACACATGAAATTACAATTAAACTGATTTATTACTAATCATTAGTAATTAGTAATTTATTACTAATGAATCATGAATCGGCACAAGAATCTACTCAACTAAGACCACTATCTTGGTATTAAATAAGAGCTAACAAATTCATGGGAGGTTGGACTTTGTTTGGTTGTGGCTAGGCTGATTCCTCTTTTGGCTCTGTCCCAGTTTTTGCCACTCCTTCTCCTACAAACAGCCGTATGAGTAATACACTTTAGCCATAGGAACTAAGTTTAAAAGGTTTCCAAAAATTCTACAACAACCATCCATTTTATTAATCCAAATCATTTATTGGAATTCTCCACCATTACTTGTTTTTGGTTAATATTAAGCAAAAGGAAACAGATGACAATGAGTTCAGTTATTTAGCTTTATATAGTACTATATCAGGGGTATCAAACTCAAGGCCTGCAGGCCATATCTGGCCCACGAGGTGCTTTGATCTAGCCCATGGGGAATCAGTTAAGGACTGGCCTGTGGTGTCTCTGCCAGTGAAAATGCTGGCAGTGGGTTGCAGGAGGCCATCGCAGCTGAAAATGGAGCTTATGAGGCCCGCACACGGTCCTTCCGAGCTCCGTTTTCACTGGCAGAGGGTTGCAGGAGGCCATGTCAGGTGAAAACAGAGCTTGGGAGCCCGTTTTCACTGGCAGAGTGCTCGGGCCCCCACAGGCACCCCTGACATGAGTGACATTGAGCTGGCCATGCCCCCCGGCCCCCCAAGGTCACACAATGAGGCCCTCAATGAAATCAAGTTTGATACCTCTGTATTATAACTATATGAGAATTAATACAACTTTCATATGTATGGTATGGCTAGTTCTTTTAAACCGTTATAATGAGCAAAACAGTAATCCAAGAACTTTCATGTCTTTTAGGGCGTGACAGGCAAAGACGGACCAACTGGACCTCCAGGTTCCTCAGGACCAGTGGTAAACACGATCATATTATTCCATTCTTTAAAAAATGGTTAAAAACTCTGAATCACAAAAGGGGAGTGAGGAATATGTGTTAACTTGCTTTCATTGCTAAATAACAAAGTTAATCTGTTAACTCTGGATTTTCCCACACAATGGCTGACGATGCTCATGTCCCCACAAATAATGTGCCTCTTAAACAACTATACTTTTAAAAATATCTAATTATCTGTGAAATAAAGTGTATGCCTTTGGCATCATTTTTATTTCCAAAGACACTTCTGGATCTCAAATGAGACTTGAGGTCTGTTTTAGAAAATAGAAATGATGGATGATGAATCAGAATCTTTATGTTTTTTAAAAGGTCACGAATCTCTGAACTAATTTAAACCATAACATGCAATAGCTAAAACCCTGAGTCAGTTCCAAAGATTAGGGAGTTATTCCCAGAATTATTAGTCCCAGCTTTGGCATCGAATGATCCACCTAATGATCAGGGATGTCATGGCTCAGAGTTTCATTTCTGGTTTTATTCCATGGAATTTCCATGTCAAGACCATCGATCCAACTTGGGAAAGAGACCTCAAGGCCAAAAACTTGGAATAGCAAATGGTCTGTAGAGATTCTTAGTCGTCCAGTTCATGGTCGTCCCAAAGGTACTTTTACAGGAGGCAACTGGACTTTCTTGTTTTTTTCTTTTGAAGATGTTTCACTTCTCCTCCAGGAAGCTTCTTCAGCTCTGACTGGATAGTGGGGGATGGAAGGATTTATATTCCTTACAGACAGCTGGTGATTTGCATTCTTTTAGTGGGTCATTGAATGGTAATGGTGTGGGAGTAGGAATGGATTTCCAGAGGAAAAATTACAGACTTCAGGGACCAGGAGAACTACTCAGGTGATCCCCAAAGACACAGATATTACCTCCAAGTGCTTCAACGACCCTCTAAAAGGATGCAAATGACAAGCTGTTTGCAAGGAATACAAATCTTTCCATTCCCCACTGTCCTGTCAGAGCTGAAGAAGCTTCTTGGATGAGAAACGAAACGTCTTCAAAAGAAAAAAAAACAAGAAAGTCCAGTTGCCTCCTGAAAAAAAAGCATCTTTGGGACTGGAATAGAAAATCTTTAAAAATTTAAAAAAAATACCTTGCTTCATCTAGCAGTTAATTTCACCCATTTTATTTTGCCTGGATCATTGTAATCATAGTTCGAACAGTAAGAAAGGAAAATCAGGGAATATATTTGTAAACAGTTAAAACAATCCAGATCAGTCTTAAGTATCATTCTTAAGGGCAGGATAAGAAATAATGGGTAGAAGGTTCTTAATGAGAGATCCAACTTGGAAATAAAAAGGAATTTCCTGACAGTAAGAACAGATAATCAGTGGAACCGCTTGCTTCCTGGAATTATGGGTGCTCTATCACTACAGGTCTTCAAAAATAGACAACTATTTCTCTGGGTTAGTATAGGATACTTGCCTTGGGCAAGGGATTGAATTAGAAAAACTCCAAGGTCCTCCAAGATCCCTTCCAGCCTATGATTTTACATATTTTATTCGGGAGATGACAAGGCCAATTGTCTAAGTGCTCTTAGACAAACTATGAATTACCGTGAAATGTAAACACAGCCAGTACCTCTGTAATCAGGAGAGGGCAGAACAAAGGGATATGATTGGAAAAAAATGAAAGAAAATCTGGGAAACTCCTGAATGAATGTCATTGAATGGACAATGCAGGAGTTGTCATCTGAGAAGCAAATAGTCATGGATATGCAAAAGAAGAAGTTTCATTATGAATGACAGGTGGAGTCTTCCATGCTGGGACAAATATTGCATCCAGTTGGTCACCACACTATTAAAAAGATGTTGAGATTCTAGAAAAAGTGCAGAGAAGAGCAACCAGGATGATTAGGGGACTGGAGACTAAATCAATGAGAGTATCTGCACCAAGACAAATTCCTTGTGTGTCCAACCACACTTGGCCAATAAAGAATTCTATATGATCATACGAAGAACGGTTACAGGAACTGGGCACGGCTAGTCTAGTGAAGAGAAGGACCAGGGGAGACATGATAGCAGTCTTCCAATATTTGAGGGGCTGCCACAGAGAGGAAGGGGTCAACTTATTTCCAAGTCTGTTAATCTGTTAAATAAATCTGTGGGCCAACAAATTTATTGCTGCTTTTGTGGAAAAGTTTGCTGAGCAAATAACTTGGTTGGTAGATGAGACCATATCTGTGCTTCTGCAGGAATGATTAGCATTTGATTTACCAGTGGAGGAAGTGCATAGTTAACCTGACCATGACTTATCGGCTGTCTTTTTGATTCTTGGGCCAAGGTGTTAGAGAATAACAGCAAAGTTTCAAAGCACAGTTATACATAAACAGGGAATCAGGCTGTCTGAACTTCTATTACTTTATTGTTTTCTCTATGCAGGGAATACCAGGTGCTCCAGGTGCCCCAGGAATAATGGGTAGTGTTGGCCCACAAGGAGATGCTGGACCACCTGTAAGTAAAAGTCCACCATACTCTTGTCTCTGTGTGTGTGTGTGTGTGTGTGTGTATTTGTGTCTGTACAGATAGTCCTTTACTTATGACCATAATTGCGACTTAAACTTATATCAGCAAGCAATGTGGTTGTTGTTCTATTGCCAGTAAAGAGACTCGCAGACCGGAGTTGAATTCAGCTCTTTAATAATAACAAGTAACTTCAACTGCAGTCGAGCCGCAGCAGCCCTTTTTATAGCGGCTGCTCGCGGCTTGCAACCAATGGCATTTATTTAAACTTCCCGCCGCTTTAGGCGGCCAATCCGATACTGACAATATTAACCAATCCTTTCGTTGCATTAACTAACCAATAGGAACATCGACTTAGAAGTCTCTATTTGAATACACTACAGTTGTTAAGTGAGTTGTGGCTGATTTTATGACCTATTTGGCCATGATTGTTAAAGGAATCCAGCTTCAACCTCATTGACTTTGCTTGTCAGAAGCCCTCTGGGAAGATCAGAAATGGTGATTATGTGACCCCAGGGTGCTGGAATTGTCATAAATACATGCCAGTTGTCAAGTGTCCAAATTTTGATCACTTAACCCAGAGAATACTGAGGTGGTCCATAAGTTAAGACCAGTGATAAGTTACTTTTTCCAATGCTCTCATAACTTTGAATGATCATTAATGGAATGAGCAATTAAAAGAAATAATAATGGCTAATTTACTTGTACATTGTGATACATAAGAGAATAATTCCATAAATATTTTGTAGATCCATCTTTATTTGATGGATCTCCTCAACTTTATTTTGTGGACCTCCTCAACTATACCTCATAAATGTAACCTTATTTTTGCCTTCCATGTGTTGGCGGCTAGGACAGTTCCTCAAATGATCAAGCAAATGTTTTTTCAAGCAGACACAAATGACAATATGGTAGGACAACCCAGATATCCAGGCATTTCTCTCAGGCATTGCCATGATCAAAACTGTTGCGTTCCAATAATGTTGATATGCGACCTGATTTCTGCTGAAGACCTGGACATTCTTCTAACATCCTCAGAGCCAAATTGGAAACCATCCTTTTAAAGGAAAATAATCTTTCATGTGTGTAGGGAGCAAATGTTTCATTTTTCCTCCTAGCCATGGTTTTCACAAAATCATACCCTTCCCGCATAAAGCAAGTCGCTTTTGAATGAAAGGTCCTTTTGTCATCCCCGCAAAGTCTCTCTACACTCCCCCACCCAATGCTAACTGTAACGTTGGTTGGGGTGGAAGATTTTCACCAGTGTAGCTGAGAAAATTTCCACCTTGCTTTATCTCCATGTGCCTAGACAGAAATGATTTTGGAAACACTGACATGTTTTGACATGCACCAGAGGTGGTATTCAGCAGGTTCTGACCAGTTCTGGAGAACCGGTAGTGGAAATTTTGATTAGTTCAGAGAACCAGCAAATACCACCTCTGACTGAAGATTTTACAGTATCCTTCCCCTGCCATGCTCACCAAGCCACGCCCACAGAACCGGTAGTAAAAAAAATTGAATCCCACCACTGAACTGCACTACTGAAGTAACATTTACTTTGCCTCTGTAGACATTTAAAACAGCTCTATTTGAATTTTTTTTCCTTTGACTTAGAATGAAAACAATGGCTGCCTTCCAAGAAATCTTTTTACACAAGTTCCCCAACAGAGTTTGAAAGATCCTACTGATAAGTGTGGGATCCGCTATGAAAGTCTGCCTGGAATATGACCATTTTTTGAAGCTATTATAACAATAGCACTTAGACTTATGTACCGCTTCACAGTGCTTTAAAGCCCTCTCTAAGTACTTTACAGAGTCAGCATATTTCCCCCAACAATCTGGCTCCTCGTTTTACCGACCTCAGAAATATGGAAGACTGAGTCAAACCTGAGTCGGTGAGAATCAAACTGCTGGCAGTTGGCAGAATACTCTGCAATACTGCATTCTAACAACTGCACCACCACGGCTCTTATACTAATTATATACACAGATGCCTTTATTCTAACCCAAATATCAACCAATATCTAGATGGCCAAAAGCTCTTCACGAGCATATCACACCTCATCACAAAGACACCACACTAGTTAACTAATTCTGGTAAACTTTGCGGTCATCTTTGAAGTGTGTTGGGAAGTACACTCCCATCTTTCTTAAATTATTGTTGCAGTGGGATGGAAAACCCACGACTTACACGTTGCCACATTTTAAAAAGCCAGTGAATTACAAAGGAGTGTGGAACTTATTTACATTACATGTTGTGCTTATTTACATTACATTTTGTGCTTCTCTCCAACCCAGGGACTTCCTGGAGTAAAAGGCGAGAAAGGTGAACGTGTAAGTGCCTTAATCACAGATTTTGAGGGCCGCTTCTTTGTTTTTAGACTAAAACTCTACTTTGGGAGGTGGGTTGTTCTTTTTTCAGGATCTGTAGGCGGCAGTCCTGTGTGTGTTTATGTAGGAGTAAGTCCTGTGGACCTTGTGAATAGACACCATAGGCCAGTGATGGCTAACTTTTTTGTCATTGTGTGCCGAAAGTGCATGCGCACATGTGTGCCTGCACCCATAATGCAATGCACATGCGACCCCTTCCGCCCCCATGCGCATGCGTACACAACTCCCCCCCATGCATGCCGCACGCCTCTGCACATGTGCACACATCTTGTGTGCGCGCCCTCCCCACCACATGCACGGCAAATACCTGACAATCAGCTGGCTGTCGGGAGGCATGGGTGCATGCGCAGTGCATCTCTTGCGGGCAACAGCTCACGTGCTGGCAGATATGGCTCTGTGTGCCACTTCCAGCATGCATGCCATAGGTTCACCATCATGGCCATGGGCTGTGCTGCCAAGACATCCCAACCTTTCCCCAGTTTAGTACCCTTCAGATGAGTTGGGATTCCCAGGAAGCCACATGGGGATTGAAAGTTCAAAGAATTGTATTCTCAGCACATTTGGAAGAGGTCAAGTTAGTGAAGGTGAATTGTATGTGAGGAACATCTGTATTTTATGCCGCTTATGGAAGCTGATGTATCACTATATCTTTAATGTGCAGGGAGATCTTCAGACCCATGCAATGGTACGGGCAGTAGCTCGTCAGGTGTGTGAACAGCTTATCCAAAGTGAGTACAAGAACTGCTGTACTATCATGGTTCTAATGATTTCTAGGTTTTAGCTGCTAGATGTATTTGGGCTTTTTTAAAAAAATTACATTTTGTGTACTTTATTGGGCTAGAGCAGGGGTGTGATGACCCGGGGCATGGCCCAAAGGCAACACAGTCAGATAATCAGTAGGAGTCCCTTTATTAGCTCCAACTTTGCCCCCAATGTCCTGGTTACCTTCTGGGCTGGAGAAAAAGTCTCCCAGGAACAGCCTTTGGCTGCAGAGAATCTTGTCCAAAACGGGGTCAACAAAAACTGTAACTATAAGTCCAATCAAGGCAAGATGAGTTAATTAGTCCAGCAGGGCAGGAGAAGGAATTCCAGAAGTGAAAGAACGGCAGTAATTCAACACGGTTGGGAGGATGCCAGGAACACAGATAACCAAAGTCAACACAAGATAAACTCATGTTTGTTCCCAGCAGATACCACACTCAGCATGCATCTCTTTTAAACTCTCTTCCCAGGTGTGGCTAATGAAGGGAATCAGGGCCCTTTCCTCCCCCATAAGCCATGCTACTTACGTTGCTCCCTTCTCCGTTCCTCCCTGCGTGCGTTAGGATGAAGAGGGGGTGGGCCTGGGTCTTCCTCTGAACTCCCTCTCCCTTGTTCTACCTCTTCCCTGCTCTGCCCAGCCGGACTTTGCCTTTTCCCAGTTTCCTCCACAGCCAATGGAGCCACACTCCCACTCCCTGATGGCTGTTCATCTTCCTCTGACAGGGGCATGACAAGAGGTCTGCAACCTTAAACACTCAAAGAGCCATTTGGACCCATTTCCCACAGAAAAGAAAACACCGGGAGCCAATAATTTAACAACCGGTGTGACTGGGTGGGCATAGCCAACTTGATGTCACTTACTCCCCCCCAATCACCTCCTGTTCTGGAATATGCAGCGAGTCTCCATCCTCTGCCATCACCCTTATCTTCTCAGGCCAGGTGAGGAGTGATGGGGAGGGGCTAGCCAGTGGTAAGATCAGCTGATAGGGAACAGCAGCAGAGTGCCAAAAGAGCCGCATGTGGCTCCAGAGCCGCAGGTTGCAAACCCCTGGGCTAGACCCAACTCATAACTCAAATCAATGCCCTCTTATTCTTATTAACATAAAACTTTGCAGGATAGAGTTCTTAGATAAAGCGTATGTTTTCTGCATTTGTCTGCTTGGCAGCTCATCTGGCTAGATACAGCTCCATCTTAAATCAGATTCCGAGCAACTCAATCTCAACACGGACTATCCCAGGTCCCCCTGGTGAACCAGGACGGCAAGGCTTACCTGGACCACAGGGAGAGCAAGGATCTTCAGGAAGCCCAGGTTTTCCTGGCAATCCTGGCCAACCTGGAACACCAGGAGAAAGAGGTAAGTGGGCTACTAAGACATATAAAGCTGGAGTTTGTCCAAAGGCCACGAGAGACAGATTACTGTTGTTGCCTGATATTTTTTGGAAATATTCAAATGTATTATTAGAATAGTCCTATTAAGATATGGGGATGCGATGGCTCAATGAGGACGCAGTGGCTCAGTGGCTAAGACACTGAGCTTGTCGATCAGGAAGGTCGGCAGTTCGACAGTTCGAATCCCTAGCACCACATAACGGAGTGAGCTCCCGTTACTTGTCCCAGCTTCTGCCAACCTAGCAGTTTGAAAGCATGTAAAAATGCAAGTAGAAAAATAGGGGCCACTTGGGTGGGAAGGTAACAGTGTTCTGTGCACCTTTGGTGTTTAGTCATGCGGGCCACATGACCACGGAGACCTCTTCGGACAGCGCTGGCTGTTCGGCTTTGTAATGGAGATAGAGCCAGAAATGACAAGCATGTATGTGCGAGGGGAACCTTACCTTTACCTATTAAGAAGAGCATCTATGTGAGGCTGCCTCTTCTGTGAAATAGAATTTTTGTCTCAAAATGTGAAAATTATGCCTGGGTAAGTATTATTCTCAGTTTGAACTAGGATGTTCACTTTCATCTGTCTTCAGTCCCGATAGTCTTCTGCCCATGTAGATCCTATCAGTTGTCTTCTCTTTATGAAGTCTCAAATGACAGAAGAACTGATGATCTGTGGGAGCCATCAGTTATCACTGTCATTGACTGATTTGGTAACCTGCTGACTGAATGAGGGACTATCAGAATTATTTCTGACACACAGATCCTGGGTTTTTTTTGGCATGGCCATGCCACATATATCCCAAATACACTCAATTTTTTTTCTAAAAGACTTGAAATCCAGGAACCAGAATAAATAAATAATTCACTGTGAAATAAATGGACCTTAATGGATAAAAAAGATTATTTCAGGCACAAATATTTTCCACCAGATGTCTTCTCTTTCCATTGATCTTTATCCTGAATGGAAATTTGTTCTGGACAGGTATAAGTAATATTTGCTCCTTGGATTAGAAGTTTACAAGGAATGTTTGAAATAATCTACAAATGTTAGTGATATCAGAAATCTACTCTACTAGATTTCCCCATTACTAACCTTTCTACCAATTATTCATACTATTGACTCAGAATCTTGTCTACTGTAATTTTATCTCATTGTTCCTACTCTCTGGAGTACAAGAAAAAAATGTGCTCCGTCATTTCATAAAAGCTTTTCAAGACTGGTTCTACAAATTATTATATAAATAAGTTGAAGGGACACAGAGATGTCTACAGTTTAATAAAAAAAGTAAGCATCAATCTTGTGATCAAAGCTCTGTAATGAAGGTAAAAAAGTGAGAGGAAGCTTCTTCAACTGGATGAGAAGCAAGACATCTTCAAGGAAGTCCAGCCGCCTTTTGAAAAAGCACCTCTGAGACCACCATGATTGCATAACTGAGAATCTCCATAGACATGAAGTTGATAGCATACTACCACATAAATGGAATAATGGATGGAAACTGATCAAGGAGAGATTCAGCCTAGAACTAGGGAGAAATTTTCTGACAGTGAGCACCATCAACCAACGGAACAGAAGTTGCCTTCAGAAGTTGTGGGAGCTTCATCCCTGGAAGCTTTCAATAAGAGATTGGATTGCCATCTGTCAGAAATGGTATAAGGTCTCCTGCGTGAGCAGGGGGTTGGACTAGATGACCTACAAGATCCCTTCCAGCTCTGTTATTCTATGTTCTAAATCTACTCTGAAGTGAATCTTTTACATACCTACACACAAACACACACACACAAAAGCACCCACCCCACTCCACATATATGTATAATTCAGCAGGCCCCCAAGCCAATTAAGATGCAAATGTAGAAGGTCTGGGAATTGTATTGTTTAGTTATTTTTTCCCCTTCACTTAATGTATTAAGCCCCTCATCTGGTATCCATGGGATTTGATGTCACAGAGTTGGTTCTGATGAGGAAACCTTTCAGCACCCACCAAGACCCCCCCAAAGGAAGAAGAGGGAAGATTTAGGTTTCTGTGGGAAAGAAGTTCAAAGAGCTTCTTTGTTTGGTGGCACAAGGAAGAAAAGGAGTTGAGATTCGGAGGGACATGGGAAATTGGAAACCAGAAAGAGGCTGAAAGTTAAAATGGGGAAACTAAAGCAAAGTGGGATGGAACAGGAAGAGGGACTAAAGTGGCATTCTATGCATAATTTATATATATATAGTTAAGCCTGAAAGATTTGACACCAGAGTGAAAGAGATGAATTACAAAGAAGAAAAATAGTGACTTCAACAATGGTAGTTTTTCCCAAACAACCAATGCCAGGTTGGTATGTTTTCACGGAACATACTGGAAAGTTAAGTTTGCAATAAATAAGATAAAAGAACATGACATTGAAGTTCCCCTGTTCAGAATTTGTCAACAAAATTGTTTTCAAAGTTAAAGAAAAGAAAGGCGTTTTGGCAGAATTTAATTTCTCATTTGGAAATGCCGACAGTGGGCTAGTTCAGGCTGAGAATTTTATAGCCAGCTATATTGACAAAGAGGATGATCTAGTTGGCAATACAATTTGTTGCTTCTTTGTTTTTATAACAATGGATTGGTAGACCCAGGCTAGCAGATTTGGGTCACAGAAATCCAGGCTACCACTCTGCTACCACCATAGCAATAGCACTTGGATTTATATACCAGCCCCTAGTGCTTTACATCACTCTCTGAGTAGTTTACAATATTAGCATATTGCTCCCAACAAATCTAGCTCCTCATTTTATGGACCTCGGAAGGATGGAAGACAGAATGAACCTTGCAACCTGTCAGGATCGAACTACAGACTATGGGAGGAGTTTGCCTGTAATACCGCCTTCTAACCCCAGCGCCACCAGGGCTTCTCTGCAACCATGGCAGCAGAATTAGAGTTTGATCTATCTCTTGGTTGCTATGGTGGGATTGTTTCCTAAACTCCAGGTAAACAAAGATTTGGAGCAAGAGGATGGGACTGTTTGCAACTTCTGTTTTTTTGTGGGGGAACAATAGATATTTTGAAGTTTCACGAAGCTTAAGTGGAGATATTTGGAGATAATAAAATTATTAGCAAGACTTAGGAATGACAACGCTTAGAAGATCAACCATTTGCATATTTTTTCACTTCCACATGTGATTATGCGGACATTTAATAGAGGTCTACACTGGTCCAAGAGAGCCAGTTTGATCTAGTGATTAGATGCTGGAGTAAGAGTACAGAAAACTGAGTTTCATTCCTACTTTAGATATGAAGGCCAGCTGAGTGATGGGGCCAGTTCTTCTCTCTCAGCCCTAGGAGGAAGGCAATAGAAAACCACTTTTGAAAATGTTGCCAATTATCAATAGTACATTGAAGGCTTGAGAGTTGGCTACAACTGAAGCAAGCTGACATTAGCTGTTTCAAAATGTTATTGGATATACCTGATAATGAAACATTGATGAATGAGATTCTCTGGATATTTCATCCACTTCGACACCTACCAATGTCTTTTCCTTAATAGATACAGAAGTCCCACCAAACTGATATTTCAGCATTCACTTTAAGAATGTCCTTAACAGAATGTCCATGACTTCCATATTCTCAATTCATCCAAATTTCAGTGTTTTGGCAGATTACCAAATAGCAAGATTTAAAGTGAATTATAATCTGTCTCTGAATATTGTACTGATAGATCCAGAAAGGTTCCTCATTGTGTTAGTAAATGGGGAGGATTTGCTGGCCATATGCAGCTCATCAATTCGAGGTCCAAATTTCTAATAAACAAGAACAGAATCTTCTAGTGCAGATACACAACAAGATATATTTTGTCATTTCATTTGCATTTTCAAAGAGATTTTATGACAATGTATTTGGAAGAATAACTTCTGTTACCATAAGGTTTCTATCTTTCCACACATATACAATCAACTTGGACAGCATGGAAACTACCATCATCTTTTCCAGTAGGACATTAATTTATGTGGGAATAAGGAAATGAGTATCAGAAAGGATTGCAAACAAATATATTCTCCATCATTAACTCCAATTTCAAGCCAAGGACATTATTTGGTTTTTGGTGAGCGCACGAAGGGCTGTTCTTAAAAAGGCTACACGAAGAAGATGGTTTCACAACAACAGCACAACAATTACATTGAATTCCTGTTTAATTGGCTAGGCATTCAACCATTTCAGTCACATGAATAATAGCAATTTATTTGAAGCTTTTGCAAAGGCGTTATACGTTTGAGATTTCAGAAGGTGGAGTCTTGTTCCATAAACCTGCAACATTTTTGTGACTCAGAGGTGTAGTGGCCTAGTGGTGAAAATGCCTACCTTCCACTCGAAATCCTAGCAGCAGCAGAGATTTCGCTCCTAGGGCTCAAAGAAAAAAATATCTGCTGTGAACTCCGTATGGTGTCAGGAAGAGCATCCAGCCAGTAAACACTGAGGTCCATTCGATGGCCCTAACTCTACTCCAATAAAAGAGGTTACAGGGTGGTTAAAAGGGAGTTTTCTGGTTGAATAAAGAAGTCCTAGTAATACATAAATAAAGATTTGACACTAATAGCCCTATAGGAAAAAGACACAGGGAAATGACTTAATCTCAAAACAATTTATTTCATGTGTCCATATACAATCATTAATTAAGAATCAAGGTCCTGAATACTGTTTGTTCAGTCATTTTGGAGAGATTCAACCTAGAAATAAGGAGAAATTTTCTGACAGTGAGAACAATCAACCAATGGAACAAAAGTTGCCTTCGGAAGGTGTGGGAGCTTCATCCCTAGAAGCTTTCAAGAAGAGACCAGACTGCCATGAACTCGCAGTGGGCCTTTTGAAATAAATCACTGGCTATTTCTTTGAGGAGTGATGTTTTTTAAACATTACCTATTCCAGTATTGTCCTTTATTGTGAAGGCTATTAGTTCTGGGTTGCAACAATCTGAATCTGCAACAAACCTCAAGGCAGGACAAGAAGCAATGGGTA